ACACACACACACACACACACACACACACACACACACACACACACACACACACACACATAAATGTTTTCTACGCCTGAATGTTTAATATGAGCTTGACGAGTGCGGATTTCATTATCTCTAATCCTGAATGCACAGTTATCTCCGAATGGAACAATACCGAAGACGAGGAGGCGAAGAACAAGAGCGCTATTGTACTGGCGACCGGCAGCCCCTATCAAAATAACGAGGGTCCACTGCAGAGAGATGAAGTGAAGGCTACTTTTAATAAGGAGGAAAGCAAAGATAACACCTGTAAGTCTACCGTCCGATTTTTCCATTGTTATACCGGTAAGCTACGTTCATAATTTTCCGCGTAATTGACGTTCTTTTCACCGATGCTTTTTTCCCTTGTCATGTTTTATAACAATGAACTCGATATATCAAAAGAATTGTGTCAAAAAAAGGATCATTACGATTATTACTAGTCATATATTTACATGAAAAAATGTTAATTGGAATATTTTATATAATACGCGTCAATCGTGAAATTCTCTAGATTTCACGAACGAATACAAAATTAATATAGTTTTCTAATAATATTATTAGAAATCGTAAATTTAATTAAGAAATCTAAAACCGAATTTGATTTATAAACACAAATATAAATATACATGTTTTTGAAATGTAAAAATTTTTTAAATAAATAATTTAAGAAATCTGAAATATATTAAATAATTTGTATTTTTAATTCTACATTTGGAATTCTAGTTGTAATTATAATCAAAAAGTCAATAACTTGCACCTTTAGCAAATCTTCTTTTTGATGACGCGATGTCCTTACACCGCAATTAATGGAAAAACGGCGACGATGAGACTAGAAAACTCCGTCAGATCGAAAGAACTGTGCGAAAAAGTACATCGAGTAGTCCCAGGGATGTCCTCGATTACCTGCAAAAGAAACATTACGGAAGAAAAAGAGCGGTCGCTTTTGTTCCTTGACTACGCTGAGTTTGTTAACCAATAGAACGAATGCTTTTTTTACTCTCATAAAAGCCGCGCAATTAACCTGATTAATTCTTTAATTTTCTTTGACTGAAATGTCGAAACGCGGTATCGAGATACTGTTAAAAAGATCAAGATTCATTAACGAAACTTTTAATGCTAATTGATTTCAATATTCTTAAAAATGAACATTGAACTAATTTGTGTTTTCTTCTTACTGATGTTTCTTGTATTACATAGCGCAAAATTTTTCGACCACACAGCGACGATGTTCAAATTGCTGAAATTTCTTCGTAACTATCGCTAGGTTCAAGCTCGCGTGCTCGTTTAATGTAGGTTTGTATTTGTATACATTGCTGGCGCGAAATGCTCTTTGCGTGTCCGCTTGTTAAATTCGCCCAAGGTAAAACGCAAGAAAACAGGACGAGGTATTTATGTTTTCTCGCTTGAAGCGCGACATATACCTAATACTCATTACATATTACACCGCGCAGAAAGGTACAAATGTGCGCCAACGCGGGTAATAATCTGCGAAGTAATGAAACAGACGTTCAACGATGTACTAGATGAAGAATAACATTATATTTTCTTGTCGGCTACTGTTCTATAACATTATGCCAAAAATGATTTGCCGAAGAAACGAGACCGAAATGTTGAGAATTCAAAAAGAGCATGAAACAAAATGGAAATTTTTTGTCGCAGATATATCTTTATCTGGAAAATTAAACTCTCTTCTCTCTGATGTTTTTTTATTTGAAGAAAAAACAAAGAGAAGAATTTATCAGAGTTTGTTAAATAAAGTTTACAGCTTACAATTAGTTTTGATATCTGTGCGCGAATAACTCTTTCTCTTATAAAGAAATATTAAGATGAATGTGTTTCCTTTCTTGCTATTGGATAATTATTTTTTGATCGATTGACTGTATTTATTGATCGATTGACTTTAATATCCTCTATTTCAAAGAAAAATCAAATGCATTTAATATTTTCATTTTGATACTATTCGATGATATTAAAACTATGAATGCAAATATTTGCCGATCGTGAAATTAAAAAAAATTTTAATGTGACTATTATTAGATTGTTCTCTCTTATGCGTTTATTGATTCATAAAATACTCAAGCGATGATCAGACTATTGCGGTGAACTACGAAAGCCATCAGCGGATATTGTTTTTGTTCAGCCAGGCACTGATCAACCGTGATCTAGTTACGAGCTTCGTGATGAACGCAATCATCATTATCGTTCTATCGTACATTATGTGAGGTTACCTCAGCGGTATTATCTACGGTGATAGGTCGTGTTGCTTGATGCAAGCGTCATGGACGAGTGAATCCGCTATCACGTACACGCGCGGTTCAGCTGTCTGTAGCGACGTCGAAATATTATTAATGGAAAATTCTTTTGTTATATCAGTACAGTTATCGTTACTATCGATATTCCACTTGCTTGATTTAAAATGTGACAGTCGCGATTATCTAAAAGTTTATCAATTGTAATAAAATGAATAAGACTAATTAATTTCGATTAAAAACTTTATTTATTGGAGTATATTACACGAGAAAAGCATTATATTCAAATTATTATATCGCGGAAAAAAAATCATTGAAATGAATTTTAAAGCTAAAAGTTGATACTTTCACATTAATGAAATTAAAAAAAATAGTTGTCAGTGGTATAACTTTTTGAAAACTGGTCATTCAAATAGTCGTTTTTTGCCTCTTTGATATAATTTTTCTCAAAACGTAACAGCCAACCTTTATCAACAGATTCATATTCAACAGATAGAAATACGTCGGAAATAATTATTCACATTAGCGACAAGAAAAAAAGTTAAATTTTGTCGGACAATATAATTAGATAGAAAAAAACAGAAAAGATTCTATTAAATAATTGCTTAAACACTTAAAAACAGAAAAGATTCTATTAAATAATTGCTTAAACACTTAAAAGCTAGTTTCCTTAGGAATTACGATCGATGTCGATTAATTAATGTAAATTATCTCTAGAGCGCAGTCCCTAAGCCAATGACAATGTGCAAGATCACTGAGCTTGCAGTGTAACCGTTAATCGTTGAGCTAATCGAATCCC